TGCTGCTGCTGCTGCTGCTGCTGCTGCTGCTGCTGCTGCTGCTGCTGCTGCTGGGGTGTAAAGGGCGCAGCATGCGGCAGCAGAGAGGAGAGACGGCGATATTTTCTGCTTTCAAATCCAAATGAAAAATATTTAGAGCATGCAAAGCCGAGACAGCGCGCGCCACCTGTGTCCATACACCCCAAACCCTAAACCCTAAACCCTAAACCCTAAACCCTAAACCCTAAACTCTAAACCCTAAAGGATGCTAAATGTAATAGAAGATATGCTGCTTATGAATTAGGGGTAAGAGTTTAGGGCTCGATTTCAGGACTAGGGTTTAGGGTTTATGGCTAGGGTTTAGGGTTTAGCGTTAGGGTTAAGGGTAGCGCCAAGAGTTAGGGCTGAGATTAGGGTTTAGAGTTAGGGTTTAGGGTTTAAGTCTAGGCTTGGGGATAGGATCTAGGGATACTGTTTAAGGGTATAGGTATTAGGGTATAGGGTTTAGGGTTACGGTGTAGGGCTAGGGTTTACGGTTAGGGTTTAGGGTTTAGGGTTTAGGGTTTGCGGACCTGATAGATAACAATGCGTGCTGTCTCCTCAGTGCAGACGAAACATTCGTCTGTCTTCCAACCTGAGAAGACACCCCAAACCCTAAACCCTAAACCCTAAACCCTAAACCCTAAAGCCTAAACCCTAAACCCTACATTTTCTCAACCACTTAACCCTGAAGCCTAAAAGGAGAAGAACCGATAAAACCCTAGACGGGCCTGAGCATTTGCCCCCCAAAAGAGTTTACGAGTTAGGGTTTAGGGCTTAGGGTTTAGGGTTTAGGGTTTAGGGTTTAGGGTTTAGGGTTTACCGCGAGGGGGGGCAGTTGAGTAGACGTCTTGCATTTGTTTATTTTTTCGCCTTTGCAGAATTTGCTGTCCTCTGGAAGGAAAAACAAATTGAGTAAAATTGGGGTGTCTGTACACCTGAATAAAACAAAGCAAACCCTAAACCCTAAACCCTAAACCCTAAACCCTAGAAGAGACACCCGAAGGCTGCTTAAACCACTAGGGTTTAGGATTTTAGGGAATGACAGCTACAGTGGAGGGCAAAGGGTTTACTTTACAAGATCAGAGGGGGCTAGGGTTTGAAATAAAGGGTTTAGGGTTTAGGGTTTAGGTAGGGCTAAAACTCAAGGGTTTAGGGTTTAGGGTTTAGGGTTTAGGGTTTACGTGGAGAAGAGGACAAATGTTTGGGTGCTTCGCTTCAGAGTAAAACCCTTCTATTTCCTTCAGCTGTACGTACACCCCAGCAAAGCGCTCTCTTACATTCATTATAAAGCCCTAAACCCTAAACCCTAAACCCTCAAGCGAGAGCCGGCCTCACCCTTTCCTCCAGTGTATAGGCACCGCAAGATGAACGCAAACCCCACAGCTCCGAGTCTAAGCCGGTGTACGTCTGAGGTGCGCAGACACCCCAAACCCTAAACCCTAAACCCTAAACCCTAAACCCTAAACCCTAAACCCTGAACCTTAAAGCATGATTCCTCGAATGGGCAGGCTTAGGGTTTAAAGTACCTTAACAAAGACAGTAAAGGATTTATTTATTAATCTCCATTCTTCTGTTGGTGCTTTAGGGTTTAGGGTTTAGGGTTTAGGGTTTGGGGTACCTTAACAAAGACAGTAAAGGATTTATTTATTAATTTCCACTCTTCTGTTTTTTTATGTTCTTCCTGAGAGACAACTCGCAGGCGAACCCCACAAAAACCTGCAGACAAACAAAACAAATAAATAAATTAAATTAATAAATAAATTAATTAAATAAATATATAAATATAATAATTAAATAATAAAGATGGAATAAATAAACATATAAAACAAACAAAAAGGAGATGATAAGGAAATCAGCAAAAAAATAAATAGAAGAATAAACAAATAATAAAAAAAGCAAAACATCAATATAATAATAATAATTAATAATTAACAATAATAATAATAATAATAATTAATAATAATAATAATAAATAACAATAATAATAATAATTTATAATAATAACAGACAAAAATCAAACAGGAACGAAACAAGAAATCAAATAAAATAAACAAACAAAACAAAAAGCCAACAGTATGTTGCTGCTGTTGCTGCTGCTGCTGCTGCTGCTGCTGCTGCCGTAGCTGTTGCTGTTGCCGCTGCTCCTCCTCCTGTTCCTGCTGTTGGTGCTGCTACTGCTACTACTGCTGTTGCTTCTGTTGTAGCTGCTGCTGCTGCTGCTGCTGGTGTTGCTGCTGCTGCTGTTGCTGCTGTTGCTGCTGCTGCTCAGATACGTTTACATTGCTGTTTTTGTTTAGATTTACCTTTCATTTTAATCAATTTGTCTTGCGCAGCAGCAGCAGCAGCAGCAACAGCAGCAGAATGTGGGTTAAAAGGGGAGAACAAAAGGCTAGAAACCTTGTCTTGTGGCAGTTGGTGCTGTTGTTGTTGCTGCTGCTGCTGTTTTTGCTGCTGTTGCTGCTGCTGCTGCTGTTTTTGCTGCTGTTGCTGCTGCTGCTGCTGCTTTTGCTGCTGCTTGAGCCATGTATTTCTGCTGCCTGTGCTGCTGTTCTAGCAGCTGCCGAATATGCTGGTGACTTTGGTGCGCAGCAAATGCTGTTGCTGCTGCTGCCGTTACTCCCGCGGCTGTTCCTGCTGCTGCTGCTGCTGCTGCTGTTCTGGTTTCTGCTGCTTCGGCTACTGGGGCTGTTGCTGCTGCTGCTGCGGTTCCTGAGGCTTATGGAGGTTGTTATTAGGGCAGCCGCTGCCTATTGAGTCGGCGGTTGTTACAGCTGCAGCTACAGCTGCTGCTGCTGCTGCTGCAGCTACAGCTGCTGCTGCTGCTGCTGCAGCTGCAGCTGCTGCTGCAGCAGCAACAGCAACAGCTGCAGTTGCTGCTGCTGCTGGTGTTACTACGCTATCTATAGCCGCCTCTATTGCAGCATATTTCGTGTCTAATATTCCTCTGAATTTATTTTGATTTATTTAAATATATTATCTAAAGGAGTAAAACTGCAGAAATATTATGTATACTTTGTGTGCATGCATGCATGCATACTTTGGGGCTGCGGCGGCGTTGGGGGCTGAAGGCAGTCGATTGCTGCAAACAAATGAAGAAATAAATAAATAAATGAAGACAAAAAACAATTAAAATGTAATTCTAAATTTATTTATACTTTTCTGGAGTTTTTTTCTGTGTGTATTGTTAGCAGCAGCAGCAGCATCAGCAGCAGCCGGTGTTTGCTGCTGCTGCGTTGCTGCTGTGAAGTTTGCAGCTTCTTGTTGTCTGTATTAAATAATTAAAATTTAAAAATTATTTTGTTTTTATATTTAATTTTGTGGATATTTTGAGGCTAGAAGAGAAACAAAAACAGCAGAGTAAAGGCAAGATGAAGGGGGGCCCCTCTCTTGCTGCTCCTGCTGCTGCTGCTGCTGCTGCAGCTTCTGCTGCTGCTCTGCCATATCGTTTTGTTGCTGCTGCCTCCTCACGCAGCATCATCGCTTCGCCGGTCTCAGGGTGTCTGTACACTCGTCGGCGTTGCTGCTGCTGCTGCTGCTGCTGCTGCAGCTGTTATGTGGGTCCGAGCGCAGCTCGTGGCTTCACTTCCGCAGCAGCAGCAGCAACAACAACAACAACAGCAGCAGCAGCAGGCAATAGTGCTGCTGTTCTCGGCAACAGGAATGATAGTCTTGAAGATGTGCGCGTTCGGCCAAAGCCAAAGAAATATTTTGATGCGAAAACTTTTAGGCAATTCTTAGCTCGATTAAAACAGCACAAATTACAAGAAGAAGAAAATGCAGCAAGGCTGCAATATGTTAGGGACCCTCCAGGTAAAACGCTGCAGCAAACATCTCCTGCTGCAGCAGCAGCAGCAGCAGATGCTGCTGCTGCAGCGGTAACGGCAGCAGCAGCAGCGGTAGCGGTTGCAGCAGCAGCGGTAGCGGCAGCAGCAGCTGTTGCAGCAGTAGAGGTAGCAGCAACAGCAACTTCTGCAGCAGCAGCAGCATGGCTGACTCTGTTGGGAGAGCACCAGCAGCACGGCAACAGCAGCAACAGCAAAACAGCAGCAGCAGCAGCAGCAGCAGCAACAGCAATAGATGTCTCAATTGTCTGTTGGTGTATACAGCTTCTGTAGATGCCTATACACTCTGGTTCACCGATTTTGTTTTGTGTATATTTGTGTTTGTTTGTGCTGCTTTGCATGCATTTGGGGTGTACGTACACCTCAGAGGGCTGGGGGATAGTCGAGTTTTTAAACAGAGTCGGAATTAATAAAGAAGAGGCCAACAGCATCTCAAATTATTTTGACTCCTGGAATGCATTTCTCTGCTCCTCAGCACAAGTATTTCTTTTGCTGCTGCTGCTGCTGCTGGTTCTGCTGCTGCTGCTGCTGCTGCTGGCTCTGCTGCTGCTGCTGGTTCTGCTGCTGGTTCTGCTGCTGCTGCTGGTTCTGCTGCTGCTGGTTCTGCTGCTGCTGCTGGTTCTGCTGCTGCTGCTGGTTCTGCTGCTGCTGATTCTGCTGCTTCTGCTGCTGCTGGTGGTTTTGCTGCTGCTGGGTTTGCTGCTGGTTTTGCTGCTACTGTTGGTTGTGCTGCTGCTGCAGCTGCTGGTGATGGTAGTGTTGTTGCTGCTGCTGTTGGTGCTGCTGCTGCAGCATGTGCTGTTCATGTAGCTGTTGCTGCTGCAGTTGCTGTTGCTGCACCAGCTGCTGCTGCAGCTGCAGCACAGCCTTTATCTCGTATTGAAATCTGCTGCTGTTTTATTAATTAATTTGCAGATATATTTTCTTTGGTTTGTTTCCTTCTTTTTTATTTGATGTTATATATATATAATTTATTTATTTATTTATTTATTTATTTATTTATTTATTTTTATATTTATGTTTATGTATTTTGTTTTGTTTGTTTTGTTTAATTTGAGCGTTTGCTGCATCGTTTAGTTGTTGCCGTTTATTTTGTTTATCTTTTCTTTGCTTCCTCGTTTGTTCGTTTATTTGATTATTTATTTATTTGTTTGTTTACTATTTATTTATTTATCTATCTATCTATTTATTTATTTATTTATTTATTTATAGGATTGGATGGCTATAGAAGGTCTCACAAATGCACAACGAAGACTCATCATAAGACATATACGGTAAGGCAGCAATAAATAAATATAAATAAATATAAATAAATATAAGTAAATATATAAACGTATAAATAAATAAAATAATGTATTAGTTTATAAAATAATAAATGAAGTAAATTGTTTTAATTAAACAACAAGTCTGAAAAGCTAGTAAGCATGCAACAGTATTATTATTATTATTATTTTATTTTTATTATTATTATTATTAATATTATTATTATTATTATTATTATTAAAGAATTATTATTGTGCAAACCAGTCCTTAGGGAGAAACACAGAAAAGACAGAAACAAGAAAGAAAATACAAATAAAATAAAAATAAAATAAATAAAAATATAAAATAGATAAAAATATATAATAAATATTTGTACTTGTATTACAGCAAATAAAACCCAAATGGATAATACAGTAAATAAACGCAATAAGCAAATCGCTTTTAAATAAGTAATATAATAATGCCGGGGTTTAGGGTTTAGGGTTTAGGGTTTTGGGTTTAAGGTTTTGTTTGTTCAGGTTATTTAACCACGGACTGTGGCCTGAAAACTCGTACAAAGATTACATGCAGCGATTTCAGGTACAAACCCTAAACCCTAAACCCTAGCTGGTGCCCACGTGTGGTGCGTATGAAGGGGGTTTAGGGTTTAGGGTTTAGGGTTTAGGGTTTGTGGTGCAGGCGGCGCCTCTAAAGCGAGAAGGAATGCCTTGGACAGAAGAAGAAGACAAAAAGCTACTGGAGCTTGCAGAAAAATATGATGTAAACTTCGGAGGTAAACCCTAAACCCTAAACCCTAAACCCTAAACACTCGGCAAAGTCAAAGATTTTTTAGTGATGAAACCCTGAAAAAATAATCAAACGATAAACCCCAAACCCTAATGAGAAAAAACCACAGACCCCTACAGCCTCTCAAGGGAGCAGCTCTGCGGGGGTTTCTGGAATTCGATTTTTAGGGTTTAGGGTTTAGGGTTTAGGGTGTAGGATTTAGGGTTTGGGGTGTACGTACTCGCAGACCCCTGGCTGTATTTGAGCTGGGAGATGCAAAGAGAGAGCGAAGATGTGCACAGAAGATATATTTCAAAGGTTATTTTGCCGCAGGTGAATTTTAGGGTTTAGGGTTTAGGGTTTAGGTGGGCTGGTGTAAACGTTGTTGAAATCTGCAGGTAGGCGCAGCCAGACTTGTAAATGGATTTTTAACGTGTGTAGGGTTTAGGGTTTAGGGTTATGATAAGTACCAACTGTGCTGTCTAGGGTTTAGGGTTTAGGGTTTGTTGTGTTTTGATGTGTATGTACAGAACCAACAAAGACGAAGTGAATTCGTATTATCTAAGAGCCTCAAGCCTCTGTTTTTTTCTCGTTATTACAAACTGCTGCCTCCATTTCTTTTCATTGTACCGACGAAAGCAAATTTCAACACTGCACCCGCAAAACCGCTGCAAATACCCCCGGTCTTCCGCTGCCTCTGAGCGAGGGTTTAGGGTTTAGGGTTTAGGGTGCAAGAACATCCGAATTTACCGAACTCAAATTATTTTTTGATTATTCCTGCGGTGTATGTACACCCCAGCTTCTGCTAAACTAAGATGAAAAAGGCAAACTAGGGTTTAGGGTTTAGGCTTCAGTCAGCACACCACGGTTTAGGGTTTAGACTGAAGCTAGCAAACTAGGGTTTAGGGTTTAGTTATTTGTTTGTATGTTTGAAGGGAAGTATGCTATTCTGCGTTTCCTCCCTTTCCAATTTGTTTTTTTATTGTTTATATTTGCACTTCAACTGCGTCTACCACGAAAGAAAGTAATTACTGGCTTCCAGTTCTTCTGCTTCCCTCTCTGCATCAAGCAAGAGGAAGCAGCCGTTGTTCCTGCATGCATGCACATTTCTTTTTATGCATGCATGCAAGAACAAGTTAACGCACAGTGGACGCAAGCAACATGAATGCATTTGCAAGCAAACGCATGCATGCATTTGCATGCATTTGCATGCATCTGCATGCACTTGCATGCACCAGAGCCGCCTGCATGCATTCACGTGCATGGACGGGGGCTGCATGTATGTATGCATGCATTAAATGCATGCAAGTGCAAGCAGCGAAGCAATTCCTCTCTACTGTGCGTGTTCCTCTCTGCCACCTGTATGAACACGCAACCCCATCCAGCCACATCCATATTCGAAGAATTTAGGGTTTAGGGTTTCGCAACCGTCACAGAACAGTCGCAACAAGGCGGCTTTTGCGGTGTACGTACACCGCATGACCGCGCCAATCGGTCTGCTGCAGCAGCACCTGCACAAGAAGTTAAATACACCCAATTCACTTAAGGTTCCCTATACACCTCAATCCTCCTTTCTTTCTGTTCCTTTACTCCCTCTTGCACCGTCTCTCCCGTCAACCTTATATGCATGCGTACACACATGCATGCATGCACGCATGCATGCATGCGCCGCATGCATGCTCCGTTTCCGAATGCATGCATGCATGCATGCATGCATGCATGTATGCATGCATGCATGTATGCGCTTTCTTTCTTGGATACTTCCTTGCATGAATGCATGCATTCATGCATGCATGCATGCATTCATGCATGCATGCATGCACGTCTTACGTAGCATGCATGCACACATGCATGCATTAACGTCTTGTGCTGTATGCATGCAAGAAAGGTGAATGTTGGTGGATGTTTATGCCATATCCCCTCCATCTTCTTGCATCGGGATATACCCACCAGATAATTGCAAATGATCGTCTACTTCTTCTTTGAGATCCATGAAGACAGAACTACCCGCAATACTCTCCAGCACACGAGAGAAATCTCCGTCAGTAAGAAATTTTTCTGCTTGTTTTTGAATGAGATCTCCTACTTGGCTGCGTAGATAAGGGTTTTCTTGCAGTACCTGTGTGAGAGAGGTGAAATATGTGAAAATGGCCATCAGAGCTTCTTCTTCTTCGCTGCCGTGTTCGACCCCTTGGCTTTCTAGTAATGCATGCAGCACAACCTCTGCATCTTTTCCCCCTTGTGCTAACAACTCACGTAAGCCTGGAGCTGAAAGTGCACTCCCTAAAAGCTGGACCGCCCGTTGAATAAACCCTACATCCAAGCCTGCTTCACCTGGATTTACTTGCCCTGCAAGTGTTTTAAGAACATCGGAGCCAGCTAATGATGATAATCGGTTAGCTATTTCGTCTATGTCTGAGGGAGAGAGGTCTGCAAAGCTAGCAAAAGCGTTTGGAGGGCTCAAATCTCCTGCACCTGCACCATTTGATAGAGCCCCAGATGCTGCTGCTGCTGATGCTGCTCCTGAGGCTGCAGATGATGCTTCGGAGGACGAGGAGGAGGAAGAGGGGAAGGAAGATGGGGCGCGCCCAGCGGAACCCACACGAGGCACATCCTCGAGAGCTGCACGTACACCACAGACAGAGGATAAACAACACACTCAAACGCACCTTTCATGAATGCCCTTTGCAGCTATACACGCCACGAGAACTTCAACACAGAATCTGATGCATATAATGGAGAAAATAAAGCTGTAATACAAGCATGCAAGCACCTTGAGGCCTGCTGTTGCTGCCGTTGCATACCGCAGTGAATGCACAAAACAATACAAAAGGAGGAAGAATTGAGGATGTCGCACTGTTGAGTTCTGTTTTATTTACAGTTTAACACTTCGTGTTTAGGGCTCGCGGTTTAGGGTGAAGCGTTTATGGTTTATTGAGGTTTTGGGGGAGATGGGAGCCCAGCGAAGTTATACGGTTTCCGCGGCAGCAGCCCGTGCAGGACGTGTACAGACCAGAGGCTTGAGAGGAGAAATAAGAAACCCTAAACTAAAAAGACCCACCAAAAGAGAACTCTGTATGGAGAGAGAAACTAGCGAAAGAAACCACGAAGAGCGCCGCCGCCTTCTTCATCTTGAAAAGAAATCGCTGGGCGCCAACCAGAATATGCGGCAATTACGAGGAAAGCGAGGTGCTTTTGAATTGAAAGAACGTTGTTTCGCTGTCTTAATCTTCTCATCCAGAAGTAGGTGAAGAAAAAGCACAAAAAGTACTTCAATCATCAGCCAAATTCCCCCAGCTTCGCCCGCTGTTGCCTTCCTGCTGGCGCTGCGGTATGCAACGGCAGCTCCAACGGGGGCTTGCGCTCCGGTAAGCAATGTTTGTGCGTTTCTGCTACTTTTCCACTTAAAGAATATTATAAATCTTATAAAAACTTGCTTCTTTCTCCTTGTTTTATTGCGTCCCGCAGCCGCTCCTCTTAATGCATTATCATCCACCAGGGCTCTGCTGCTCCTCGATGACTCGCAGCCGCCTCATGGGCAGCTGCTCTGTGCGCTGTCTGTACACCGCATTTCCCCCTTCCTTTGTCGCCTTCACCTCAAAAAATATACCGCTTATAAACTGTTAAAGACGACTATTTATCCAACCTCTTGCTGGCCCACCGAGGAGCAACAATAATCCACAACTCGACTCCTCGATCGCGATCGTAGTAGCACGGGGCAGTCGTGAGCTACGTGCAATTCAAAACTGTTTATAGCACAAATGTAAAAAATCAGAGGAGATCCTCTCTATTTTCCAGGTCTTTGGGCCGCAGTCGCACAGAGGCCTGCTGCTGGGGTTGGTGTAACGCAAAAGAAAGGGAGAAGTAGGCCTCGATATTTGCACAAAACTGTCATGAGTTACGCTCAACACGAGACGCAATACTCATTATAGCAGTTACCCAGAACCCACTGGCACCCCTCTATTCTTCAGGTATCCTGAGCACAGCTGCACGAGGGCTGTGACAGGGCTTGTTGGTGAGGAGAGGGTCTGAAAGGAATTGCAATGCGGTTTGCTAGAACTAGCGCTGCAATGCAGCGTTGCATGCAGCCCCATAAAGGCCGTCTTGGAGAGTGCACCAATACTGTAGACATTTGTTGACCACTTCGTTATCCCCTAGTAGGAGGCGTGCACGCACATAGTAATGCATGTACTAACTCACAACAGGCTGCTTCTGGGGGGAAAACTCGCGCAGCAATTACTCATGCTGCAGGTGTTAAAACGGCTTCATCTATATATCGCTTATTGCTGCTGCATTCCTTGCTGCTGTCTGGGCCTTGAAGCTGGTGCTGCTTTTCCGTTTTACCTCGCCTTCTTGCTGGTGGGGGCCAGAAGCAGCTACTTCTGCTTCTGCTGCTTTAGCGCGAGGTGAGCAATGTGGGGATGCAGCAAAACAGCGGTGGTGGAGTGAAAACACCTCAGCTCATGCGTATTTCCATCGCCTCTTGCAGCGCCTCTGCGATACATATGAGCCTCCTCACTCCTTTCTCCTCGGGATGCTGCTATCATTTCTCTTACCTTAGATGATCTCGAAGATGTTTGGGGCGCTGAGAGTTGCACTATCCCAGTGTTTCTTGTTGCATAGACCTCAATATTGTTCCTTTGAAGCAGCATGCATGCCCTCCATTCTGTTAGCTACCGCATGCCTAAGATGATCCAGTACTGAATTGCTTCAAACTAGAAGTCCTTTATCATGGTTGACTGGCGAACTTGTGAATTAAACGTGCATTTTGCCTTCATTGCCTTTACAGATCATCTTACCCCGTCTGCCACCATAGTTGCACACACTGAGACGACGAAAGGGGAGGTAGGTTGCAACCTCTACTCCGTAATTCACTTGGCAGCCTGTGTTCCGTAGCGCTCGTAGCGCCGAACCGTTAATAGGAAATTGGATAAGCACAGACTCTACTCTTGTGCGGTGCTTTTGCATCCACGGCATTTCATATGTCATGTTGCTCCAGCAGCAACGGCAGCAACGTGTCTCGTCGCTGCTACCCCTCCCCTCACTGCTTTTGCAGATCCTGGTATTGCTGTGCTTTTGGAGATCGGTGTTACACCAAGAGCAGCTGCAGGCAAAAGGGTCCTCCTCTGTATGGTCAGATGTACTTGCTGAAGCAAAGTCGGTACCTGCGGCAAAGGTGTAGAGGCAGCAGGTGCAACAATCTTAGACTTGATGTCTATCTCCAACGAACCTGCCTTTGAAACTTTGCTGAGCTACTGCGCTTCCAATGCAATAACTGAGGCAGGAACTCTCCCCTCGGTACATCACGTTTTCAGCTACGAGGCAGACTGGGGCGTGGGGAGTGAGGGAAGCAGATGCAACATGGCCTTTGTAGAGCTGGTAATTGCATTTCTACTCCTGTGGAGGCTAAACAATGTGCGCCATGCATGCATATAAAAACTGCCTACAGTTCTTGTGCATGCAGCAAAGAAGACTCGGGTGTACGCGCTTCGGGGAAGGCTTGCAGCATGGGTCCCCACTGAAACGTTGATTTCCCCTCTATGCTACAGGCATCTTGGGCACAGCAGTGCAGTGGCTTGAGGCTGGTGCGGCGGAGAGATGCCAGGGTAAGATGAATTGCAGCGCACCCTGCTGCAAATCTTGCTGCAAGGCATCTCCACAATCAAGTACATCCACAACCGCTCATGCGAGCACCAACACTGCAGGCAATTGTTCAACATTTCCATGGCCCTCAGTAGCCACCTTGTACAAGTAAAAATACATATACGAACTTTAGGCAGAGCATGCTATACTCGGTTTTCTGAGTCCGTACTTCTCTTCCTTGTCAACGCCAGCATTGCCACCCGCGAACCGGGGGAGTCTTAGGTGCAGCTTAGGGATTCGTTCTAAGTGCAGTGCGTTTCCGCGATGGGAGATGAGTTTTGCGAGCTAGGGAACAGGCCGATGCCTTCAAATGCATACTACAAGAGAAACAGTAACGACTAATATTTCAAGTGCACCTCTGGAGCAGCCGATGATCTGGTGTTTCACTACGCTGTTAGCGTCGTAGAGGCGAGGCGTAGCCTGGCGCTCCCCTAACCGCTGTGAGCAGCACGGGAACCTCCTGACTTTTGCATGATTTTGCAACTAATTTTGCAGTAAAGTCGAGACAAGATTTTGTTCACAACTATCGCATCAACACCTTCCTGCCTACAGCCACACTCAGCGGCGCAGTGGAAGTTGAATGAACAGAGCCAGCCCCATCACCAAGTGATTAAGGAAATAAATGAATTTAATAATAGTACTAACAAAATCAATTGTCTGGAGGGTCAATCCCTTTCAATTGGCTTTTGCTTCCTAAATAGGTCTGTACAGCTTCTAAAGAAGTGCCGCGAGAAGCCGCCGCTTCTTCGTTCATTTGACGCATTCTTGATGTGTACGCCAACACAAATGCTCGACGAGCCAAATAATAGTTAAACAGTCGTTGGCGATCGAGCACCTTCAGCCGCTGCAGCCGCAAAAACACATCGGTTGCATGCATGCAAAAAAATTAACTAAGTGCGAAACTGCCATTCATAAAATGTTCCCTTGGCCAAACGCCAAGCACAGCAGGAACAAGAATGCAGACCCGCATAGCACAACACTGCTGTATTCCCTTCATGTGCCGCTTTATACACCAAGAAGTCATATATATATGTACATATATCTGCATATATATATATATATATATATACAGAGTTGCTCGTACCTCTACAGGCATATATGCAAGCACAAGTACATGCACGTTTACGTACATGTACAGAAACAAATGAATGCACAGGGGCATTCAGAGTCAACAGACGCGCACTATCGATGCATGTTTAATGCACCACAAGTACAGAAGACAAGAAACTTAGACAAAGGGCGGCGACGCATACGGCGAGCCCAGCCCTGCAAGTAAGCGGTGGTATAAGGTATAAGGAATAGGAAGGTGTATTTGAATGCTATTGCGTGCTGAATGAAGATGAACAGAGAAGAGAACAACGAAGCACTTTAACGCACCCGCTTATGTTGAGCTCGGGTGTGCGCATCGAGGTACGGCAGCCAATCCCGTGCTGCTTCCTGCGGTAGTTGCTGCTGGCGAAGGGCCAGGCGCATGTCATGACCCATGCTGCGAGGAACTTGTTTTAAAATGAACAGCCGGTGGAAATACTCGTGCAAAGGCAACTCCCGTAAGCGAATGGCTACGTAGTAGCGGTAAGACTTCAGAAAAGAAACCCTATAATTGTGACCAACCTAACAAAAAAACACCCAAACACGAAGAATATACCCGTGCAGATAACCTTGTCTGTGGACGGATTCAATAAGACAACATTACCGGTCTGCCATGCATGCATGCAACTGAACGAATGAGTCAACATGCACACAAAGAGAAAATTAACCGCCGTCGAGCAACGCATAAATACATTGACGCACGCACATCGCCACACAAGGATAAACAGCAACCGTGTATCTGGTTGTATACCGCAGCATTTGTATATACATAGGCACACATATACGCAAATGTATACGTGCATACAGCTATACTTATATACACATAATATATATATATACAGGTAAATTAGCGCAAATAGCCATATATATATGTATATATATATATATATATATATATATGTAAAGGGGACTGCATATGGAGCATACAAAAAGTTGCACAGGTAGAACGTAGCGGAGCGACCGCATGGCGGTATAGCTATGTGTGTGTGTGTGTGTGTGTGTGTGTGTGTGTGTGTGTGTGGCGTTAAACAACATATACATATATATATATATATATATATATATACCCGCAAGGTTTTGACGTGTCCAGCAGGTCCGATGATGTAGCTGTCAATGAAGACCCTAGAGATATCTGCGCCTTGATCCCGCATGCGAAGCTGCTCCTTTGTTAAGAGGTTGAGAAGCGCATTTGCTCGGTGCAGCGCGAGGGCTTGCAGCCAATCCAAAGCGTCTGTTAGGTGCAGCCCCTTAATAAGCCGCAGCAGCAGCAGCAGCCGCTTCCTCCCCAAGGGAACGTGACGTCGCTTTGCAACCCAAACACGCCCTTTTCCTTTCTCTGGCTTCGATAGATAACTCATATCTTCGCTGTACAAAGCGTTGTTATCTTCATCATGTAAAAAACCCCCGGGTTGCCGCCGGTATCGCTTCTGCCGCTGCTGCTGCTGCTGCTGTTGCTGCTGCACAACATCCCCCGTGGAGCTTCTCTCCTCTGGATTTTCTGCTGCTGCTGCCGCTAATGTTGCTGCTGTTGCTGACTGGGACTCTAATGTGGGGAAGAGGGTTTCTATGCTGTGGCTTTCTGCTGCCTTGCCTGCATGGAGAGGGTGATTAGCTGGCAAATAGCGCAGCGTTCTTCTAGGAAAGATATGTTTACGGCGTCGCATTTGTCTGTTCATCTTTGTTATAAGCCTGCGGCGCCACTCCCAAAAACCCTTTCGACGCCAGTAAGGATTTTTTATGCCTGCGGAAGAAACAAACAAAGCAGAAAAAACGCAAATCACACCTACTGCATTCAACAGCTCACTGTCTATAATAGGATTTATTACTATTATTCTATTTTTAAATACGGACAGAGAAACAAACAATAGCAACTAGCAAATAATGCCTCGCAGGCAGGGGGAAGTGCAGCTTCCCTGTCAACTTCAGAGGCAGACACAACACTGTGCTTCGGTTTGCAGTCTTTGGGTTCGCTTTAATAAATAATAATAAATATATAATATATCCTTTTAAAACGATAAACTGTGCGGGCGGTGCCATGTTAATATGCACTCTTGTCTACGTGCCTCGTTCTGTTGCCGACTTTATTTTTTGCCTTTAAAAAGGAATAACTAATATCGCCTAAGCTATCGTGTATTCGCTGCAAAGTTTGCGCATTTATATTATTGCTGTAGTGATGGCTGGCATTCATTGCAGTGGCCTTTCCTTCTTCATCATCGCCATACACTTGCGCGTTCGCCCAAACAAAAAGAAACACACCTGCCTTTGTATTGCGCATCCCAGAGGAGAACGCACGCAGCTGGAAGGCGCTGGTGCATCCATTGTGCTGTCTGCTGAAGACGAAGCTGCTGCAGTCAACTGCAGACTGCAGCAGACCCGGGGGCCTCAGCTCATTTGCAAAAACTGTGCAGCAGCTCCCTTCCGAAACACCTCGACAGCAAACACCAAACGGCGAGGGCATTGAGAGGCATTTCCTGCTGCTGCTGCTGCTTCTGCTTGAGCTGCGAAGGGGATCAGCAGCTCTGTACGAAGTGAAGGACTTATACAGGAAGCCATTGGGGGAAACAAAGGAATTTCGACAACCTGACGCAAGGGAAGAGGCAAAACTCCTGCATCCAGCCATCGTTTTGTTTTCTTATCTTCACCTCATGCCGCCTATGCATGCAATAATAATTGCACGAGCAAGCTGCTGCTTTGCATGAAATAATTAACTCGGCTCTACAGTACAATCGAGCAAGATCTCGCTGCGTTCTCCACTCGTCGGCAGTCTTTCTTCTCTCTTTTTCTGCTCCTTTCCTTCAGATTCTGCAATTCTACGGTCATCGGAATATTCGCCAAGCATGTTTACATTTAGGAGATGAAGACAAACTCCTCCTTGCTTGTGGATGGGTCTCAAGTAGGCGCGAGAATTCTCGTTCGTGCGTTGTTATGCGCACAAAATACAAAAGCATTAGGTATCTCGCAGAGACGTCTACGTAATCACTTAATTTAATTACGAAAACGATGCCCACAGCCTTCAATACTTGGTGAAGTTCGGCCGCCGATCCTCTCGCGCGTATTACCAGACACTGTGTAGCGCATTACTTGACTTTTCAGCTGGTTGGAATGTAGGAAAAGGGAAGCAAACCATTTAAAAAAAGGAAATATTCTATCAATGGAGAAAATAACTTAGGTGTTTCATACAAGGAAGGGATGCTCTGGACCTGCGAGCCGTCTGCGTGGCTGTGCTGGGGCTTGAGAGGTCTCGGGTTGTTCCTTCCGCTTGTTTGTCTTAGTTCTATTACTATAATTATTTTAGAAACCCCAAATTAGTGGAGGATTCTTTATTTGTTCATGTATTTCATTATAGTTTCGTGGAGTGGGTTGAGGCTTGGCCAAGAATCTTACAGATGATGCAGAGGCACAGCGTTTATATTGGTTCGTCACCCTTCTACAAAGAAAGTCAAATAAGTATTGTCAGAGGACGGGCGATGCGTTTGTATCCGTGTGCATGTTAGCTACGGAGAAACAGGTAGTTGTCAACCAGTTGTCTACAGCGGGCTGCTAAGGCCGTAGCGGATCGCGTGTAGTCGTTCTCCGCTGAAAGGTTCGGGAGTAACGGCTGTGAAAGCCTCGCTATGAGTGCATATACGGACCATGCACGCACTTCTGGTTGCAGTACGATGCTCGGCATTATGCCTTTAGCTGAAGAGGGGAAACCTGCCCGCTTAAATCCGTCCGCGAGGACTTAAGCGAGCAGGTCTCGGGGGTCCGACAGAGCTTCGAGCTAACCTCTCAGTCTATTTGTTCAGCAGAGAATCCTCCTTTACAGCCCAGCTTCTTGCTTTGGTTGGATTATTAGGCACGGGTTTGAGGCGTAGCGGCGGCAAGCTGCTTCCTGTTGCATTGCGCGAAAGTTGCATTCCACCAAAATAGCAACTAGTTATTTATTAAATGCTCCTCCAAGCAAATACCTTCATCACACGAGTTTCCCTTCCTCACCGGCCGTTCAAGGAAAGCTCTCGCCTAATGTTCAAACGCTATCGCTTAGCGCAGGCGCAAGGAGGCCACGCAAGGCGCAGTGTAAACGCTGAAAGGGAAAACTCCATTTAAATCATTTTGCTAATTCATAGATACATACGCATGAGGTCCTTTATTTCGGTTGCTTTGGAGCTTTCTCCATGCCTATGAAAAGCTTTGGTTGCACACATTTTCTCTTAATTGGGAATAGCAAAGCCGGAAACAGAAGTTTGACTCAACTTTTATTATTTTTGTCGAAACCCTAAGGAGAAAAATATGGTTTTGAGTGGATGAGGTACTTCATATGCTGCCCTGCAACTCTGAGCCACTGCGTTGAAATTCGTGGAAAACCTTTCTTGGTTTTCTGTATTTCATAGCCGAAAAACAGGAGGAAATACGCAGACTTCGCTTTCCGTGCATTGTCTACTTGAGTTTCAGCTTCTTCTGTGTCGGCTGCTCCTCTACCACAGCTGAGCGCACGCACCAAGCAACACCAACACAATGTGCATGCATATGTTTTAACAGAACAATCGAAATACTATACAAATGCAATATATATATATATATATATATATA